TACCTACGAACTAGCCATAAAGCTAGTATCCACCATATTTCCAATAAAATCAATCATCGTAATAGGTAGAATTATAAATTGCACGGTTGCCCTAGCTGGCCCCTCCGTCGGATGCCATACCGTCTAGCATAGCAAGAGCGAGGGCTTAGTCTCTTTGATGACTCCATCCCTCGCTCTTCAAGTACAGGTATTATCAATTTGCCGGTAAGCGGAAGGGTTCCTAACAGTTGCGCTATTTATGCTCCGACCGGCTCCCCCGCCAGGGCACCTTTGACGGCGCGCACCTGGTTCATCAGGTTGGAGAAGTTTTCGAAAGTAAGCGACTGGGGACCGTCACACTTGGCGAGATCCGGGTTGGGGTGCACCTCGATCAGCAAACCATGAGCGCCCGCGGCTATTACTGACAGCGCAACGGGAGTCACAAGATACCAGTGGCCGGTGCTGTGGCTCGGGTCGCCAATGATGGGCAAGTGGCTCAGCCGCTTGATTACAGGTATGGCCGCTACGTCCATCGTGAAACGGGTCATACTTTCGAAGGAACGAATTCCCCGCTCGCAAAGCATTACGTTATTGTTGCCACCGGCCAGAACATACTCGGCGGCCAGTAACCATTCCTCGTAGGAAGCAGCCAGCCCGCGCTTCACCATGACCGGCATCCTGGTTTCACCGACGGCATCCAGCAGGTTGTAGTTCTGCATGTTACGGGCGCCAACCTGCAACACGTCTGAATACTGGGCGACTGTGTCCACATCTCCGGGTGTCATCACCTCGGTGATTATGGGTAGGCCCGTCTCCTGTTTGGCAGTGTTCAAGAGCTTGAGGCCGTCCAGACCCATGCCACGGAAACTATAGGGTGAAGTCCGTGGCTTGAAGGCGCCACCCCGCAGGACGCGAGCGCCAGCGGCCTTGACTGCCTTGGCGGTGCTTACCATCTGCTCTTCGTCCTCTACCGAACAGGGACCCGCCATGACCACCGGTTCGGGGCCGCCAACGGGGACGTCCCCTACCATTACTATGGAATTTTCGGGGTGGAATTCACGACTGGCCACTTTATACGGCTTGGTGATAGGTATTCGCAACTCCTGGCAAGAGCGCCATTTCGTCCCGCAAATCCGGCGTAACACTGCCGATCACTCCTACTACTATACGTTCGGCGCCTTCCGAGACCTGGGGCATCAGGCCAGGACGACGCTCGATCCGGGCCTTTACCTCCTCTAGCTGTTCAGGGGAACAATCCTTGGACATTACCACTATCATTTGTTTGCACCTTCTTGAATTGAGATTTCCCCCAATTTATCCATATCGGGGGGAAATTTGTCTAGGTTTTCCGAATACCCGTATAACGAGAAAAGAAGCTGGTTTATGAAAAAATACAAACGGCCCGGAGGCCGTAGGAGTAGCGGCTAACCAGGGAAGTTGCCTCGGTTTTCATGGACACAACAACCAACGTCGCCATTACGTAGTTTCGACACCTTGCAAACGAAGTACATCCGTCCCTTTCAGGTAAACGTTATGTAATTCGTCGGCCTCTTTTTCAGTGTTGATAAGTATAAGCACGCGGACGCAACTCGGCAAGGAGTCAGGCACTGCTATTTCGGTGGCGCACATCAGGGCAGTATTGGTCCAACCCAACTGACGAGCGGCCGCGGCGGGAAAGGCCGCATTCAAATCGGGGGTGACAGTGAAGTAGGCCATGGCTACGTCACGCTCTTCTATGCCGTTCGTCTTTATCAGGTGCTGCAACATCTCTCGGGTGGCGCCGTAAATGTCCTCGGCTGTATTGCTGTCGGACCTGGTGGCTCCTCTCAATCCGCGGCAAACTGTCATAATTCCCTTCCTTCGGACGGCGGCCAACTTCTGCCCGCCAGATCAGCTACCAGCTTACTTGACCGCTCAACCACTTCATTTCGTGGTGATTCGAGCATTGTCCTTATAAGGGCGCTACCCACCGCTGCCGCTTCGGCTTCCTGGCAAACGGTTTCAACATGTTCCCGTCGAGAAATCCCGAATCCCACTGCCAGGGGCAGCGAAGTAAATTGTCTCACCCGCTGCAACAGGCCAAGGCCTCGCTGAGATACCTGATCACGGGTGCCGGTGATTCCGGTCACACTTACGCAGTAGATGAACCCGGAACTCATGCTGACCGCAGTCTTGATACTCTTATCAGTACTGGTGGGCGCCAACAAAGGGACGATATGTATGCCCCTGGGAGCGCATTGTTCGTATAGCGGGCCAGCCTCTTCGGCGGGAACGTCCACTGGAATGACCCCGTCAATACCGCACTCCATCAACCGTTGAGCAAATTGCTCCAGCCCATAGGAGTGCACCGGGTTGTAATATGTCATCAAAATAAGAGGAGTGTCCGGCACTTTTCCCCGAACCTTTGACACTAACTCAAGGCAGTCGTCAGGAGTTACCCCGCGTTGCAGAGCGTGGTAGCTGGACTCCTGGATGACCGGACCGTCCGCCAAGGGGTCGCTGAAGGGTATTGATAGTTCGATCCCGTCTGCACCGGCCTCAGCCAAAGCAGGTACCAATTCCAGGGTTGCTTCGAGGTCCGGAAATCCTGTAGTCAGATAGACGATCAGACCCGGCCGTCCTTCTCGCTTTATGGATTCAAACTTTTCTTTGATACGGTCCAAACTCATTTTTAAGGGGCCACCAACGGAGGAAGATTCTGGTAAATTCTGCCCAGAAAACCTGGCACATGTGAAGGTATTATTGCGGGAAACTCTAGCCCAACGCCTACCTGTTGTCTAGCCCCCGTAAATTATGGCAACAAGGGCAATAGTGTTCTGGCCGGCATGGGCAATAATTGGCGGCCAAATGGAACCGGTAACTCGGTACAAGGTGGCCAAAAGAAGTCCCGTGAAAAAAATGGGAATCAACACTCCGGGATACAAATGGAACAGCGAGAATATGAGGGAACTTCCCACAGACGCCCCGACTATTCCCCAGCGAGACACCAGCCCACTCATGACGAAACCTCTGAAGAATATCTCCTCAGTAAATGGTGTCCAGCCGGCCAAAGCTTCGAAGGTCAAGACCGCAGCAAAACCCCCGAAAACCACATCCCTTGGAACGTCGGGAGGAAGCAGCAAATCAATGCCCAGGGGACCAACTGCCCACGCATAGAGCGCAGTTCCACCAATGCTTAACCCTAATACCAGAGCCACCAGCAGCAATGAGTGGGCCCATGAAACTCGTGGCCGGCAAAGCCCCAACACCGGAAAATGAATACGGCCATCGTGCTGTGCCAGCAGCCAGACGGCAGCGAGAATAACCAATCCGATGGCGTGACTGCCCAACCAGGCACCCCAAGCCATGCCTCCTTCAAACCGCTCCAGCAAGAGCAATGATGCGCTGATAATCAGGAAAGCCAGTCCCACGATCAAGATGCCCAAGGCAACTTGCCCGCCGCGCCATGAAACGACCAAGTCCGAATTTGTGGTGGATGTGTCTCGGGCCTCATCCATTAAAGGCCGGACATCCCTACCGCAAAGAGGGCAAAAGGCGGCGGTTTCCTGAAGTTGCGTGCCACAGCTTGGACAGAACAATTGCAACTCTCCTATCTTTCATGACCCAACCCAACGACGCCTGTCGAAAACGGCGTGTGGAAGCCTGGAGTCTTGGCTATCGTGCGGTATTTGCCAGTCCACCCTAGCACACACAGCACGGAAGGATAAAGGTGCGAGTAAGAATGCAAAGGGCTACGTTCGCCCGGAATTCGATCGCAAATGAAAACCGCCTTTCAGAACGGCGAGGGAATTACTCAAGCCGGTAGCCTCTGAACGACATTTGCAAGAGTTATCTGCACAGTTGATAATAGCGTTGAATGCAGACTTGGGGCGAAATGGCACCAAGAGAGAAATCACCTCTGCTAATCGAAGTTACTGGAAAGAGGTAAACAAGATGCCACCGGAAAATCCGCTGGATAGAGAGAGCTTCGATTATCTGGCCCGAGCTGCTGGCCTGGATTCGGGTGATCCACACTTGGATGAGCTATTCCCTTACGTGCAGAACGCCCTGGCAGCCAACGAACGCCTGGCCGATATCGACACCACGGAATATGAACCCGATACCGCCTTTGATCCAGCCCAATTCTATCAAGAATAGGGAGTTTTTCGTGGACGCTTTGGAACTATGCTACATGAGCGCCGGAGAGCTTTCCCGGCTTATTCGCGACAAACAGGTATCGCCAGTAGAGGTGATTGACGCTCACTTGGAGAGAATTGAGGCCACGGAGCCAATTCTGAACTCCTTTATTACGCTGTTGGCAGATAACGCCCGAGAAGTGGCCCACCGGGCTGAAACCCAGATTCAAGCGGGAAACTATCGCGGCCCGCTGCACGGCATACCAGTGGGTCTAAAGGACCTGTTCAATACGGCAGGGGTCAGGACCACTTCCGGTTCCAGGATATTTGATAACTTTATTCCCTCCGAAGACTGCACCGTCGCCACCAGGTTCCAGCAGGCCGGGGCCATTCTGCTGGGCAAACTCAATATGCACCAGTTTGCCTACGGCCCTACGGGTGAAAATTTCGACTACGGACACATGCATAATCCGTGGGACCCGGAAATGGTTACGGGCGGTTCCAGCGGCGGATCGGGTTCAGCGGCGGCTTCGGGGCAGTGCACCATTACTATGGGTAGTGATACCGGTGGTTCGGTTCGTATCCCTTCAGCCCTGTGCGGCATTGTAGGCCTGAAGCCCACTTACGGGCTGGTCAGCCGAGCCGGTCTGACTCCTCTTTCCTGGTGCCTGGATCACCCGGGCCCAATGGTTAGGACAGTTGAAGACGCTGCCATCACCATGAATGCGATAGCTGGGCACGACCCAAAGGATCAGGCCACTACCACGCGGGAGATTCCCGACTATACTGCCGCCTTAACCGGATCCGTACAGGGCCTTAGGATCGGGGTAGTAAAAGAGTATTTCAGCGCTCCCCTTGACCCTGAAGTGGAAACTGCAGTTCGCGCGGCTATTTCCCAGTTGGCGGAGATGGGTGCCACCATCACCGAGGTTTCGCTGCCTCTGTTCAGCGAATCCCAGGCAATTTCAGGGACCATACTAATGTCGGAAGCTGCCGCATACCATCGTGACCTGCTCGCCAGGGATGGGGACAAACTAACTCCTTCAGTGCGATTACGGTTAGAGGCAGGACTCTTCGTGACGGCCGCTGATTACCTGAAAGCACAGCAGGGTAGGGCCAGATTCAATTTCGAGATGGCTCAAGTATTTCGGGAAGTAGACCTTTTGGCCGGGCCCACCGAACCAGTAACAGCGCCTCCGATCCTGGCTACAGAGATTGGAATCGGAGATCAGACAGTGGGTGTAACCGGAGCCCTAACCCAATACACCAGGCCATACAACATTAGCGGTACGCCTGCTATCACTGTCCCTTGCGGTTTCTCTGAATCGGGAATGCCCATAGCATTGCAGCTGGCCGGACGGCCTTACGATGAAGCCACAGTGCTTCGGGCCGCCCACGCTTATGAACAAGCATGCGACTGGCGTCAGAGGTGCCCACCAATTTAGGCCTGCGAAGTCAATGCGCCAAACCGAAGTATTCGTTTTTCCATACCTTCTTCAACAATTTCAACAATCGAGAACTATTGGAGCTTAGCGCTTGGCCGCGATCACCGCTGTAACCTTCGATCTCTGGCAAACCCTGTTGCTGGATCGGCCTGAAGTAGGACGTATCAGGACGCAAGCAAGGCTCGAAGGCGCTCGGCAGGCATTGCTCGAAGGTGGCCACCCTTTTGATCTTGAGCGAATTGAAGAAGCCTACCGAGCAGGTGTTCGGCAATGCCAGGAAATTCGCGAAAGTGGTTTGGACATTGCCTTCAATGAGCAAGTGAAAATCTTCGTCAACTCGCTGAGCCCCGACCTGTCCACTGAAATACCGAAGGCCATCTTCCAGAAGATAGCATCCACTTATTCCGATTCCTTCCTAAAGCATCCGGCCGAGCCTCACCCTGCCGGGGTGGATGTGCTACGTGCCGTGCGTGAAATGGGCTTGCGAGTTGGACTAATTTCCAACACCGGAATGACTCCTGGGGTCCTGTTTCGGCAGTTTCTCGAGGAGCATGGGATGCTGGGCTACTTCGATGTTTTGACCTTTTCAGATGAGGTCGGTTATTCCAAGCCTTCACCTGAGATCTTTGCCCTAACCCTGGAGAAACTGGGCGCTACTCCCTCCCAAACAGTTCATGTTGGTGACCACATCTTCAACGACGTGGCCGCTGCCAAGGCTTGCGGTTTCAAAACGGTGTGGATTGAGGGTTTCTATAAGAGGCCCAACGACACCGACCAAGCCACTGAAGCCGACATTTCAGTGTCAAGACTCGAGGATGTAGTGTCTGCCATCCGCCAAATAACCATGATTGCACGGGAGTAGTAGAGCGGGTTTCGGGGAGCAATTAACCTTGCTTTATAATTGGTAGTACCTTCACCTCCAGGCAACGTTGCCAGGGTATACGATATCTTCCACAAGCCTCGGCTCGTAGTACCAGATAGACTTGTGCTTCCTCACATATGGTTTCCCTTGACAAGGCCATTACCATATCCTAATCTGAAACAAGCTTCTGATTCTTTGCTCTGCACGTCCCGCAACGCATTGGCGCGTTGCGTAACGTGGTTGCCCTTCAAAGGAGAAGACGAATGGCGACTTTGGGGGTGGGGTAAAGGAATGCAGCATCTCAACGGAAGCGGCGGAGCCCGCTATGGCTGACCTGGACCGTATCTGCGATACCTTGTTGAGCCAGCGGTCTCTCATATTAGCCAGCAACCGGGGACCGGTAGAGCATTACGTTGCCCCGGACGGCAGGGCCGAAGCGCGGAGAGGCAGCGGAGGCATTGTAACCGCGTTAAACTCCCTGGCGCAGACCGCCCAATTCACCTGGATCGCCAGCGCCATGGGTGAGGGCGACCGGTTGATTGCCGGGTCCTCTCAAGGCTCCAGCTACAGATCCCCTCTTCCGGGCCACAAGATTGACTTAAGGTACGTTGTCACTCCCCGACGCGTGTATCACAAGTATTACAACGTACTGTGCAATCCTCTCCTCTGGTTCCTGCAGCACTACATGTGGAACCCTCCCTACAACCCAAATGTGGATGCCAGTGTACATGATGCCTGGCAAGGCGGTTACGTGCCGGTGAACCAGGCCTTCGCCCGTGCCGTGGTTGACCAGGCACAGAGTAACGAAATGCCTCCGGTGGTTATCGGGCACGATTACCATCTTTACCTGTTGCCTGAAATGGTGCGCCAGGAAATCCCTGATGCCCTGATCCAGCACTTCATTCACATTCCGTGGCCGACACCCCGTTACTGGCAGATGATTCCGTCTTACATCACCCGCCAGATCTGCTCGTCGCTGGTGTGCGCAGATATAGTAGGTTTTCAGACGACCCAGGACCGGCAGAGTTTCCTCGACACAGTCGAGGAGTTCGTTCCCGGAGCAAAGGTAGACCGCAATCAGCATTCAATACAGCGTGAAGACCTGACGACCTATGTCAAGCTGTATCCCCTTTCAATCAACGTGGGGGAAGTCCAGCGCATTTCCAACTCGCCCAGGGCGTTGGAACACGAGGAAAAGTTGATGTCGGTGCGGGGCGGGAACACTACCATCGTCCGCATAGACCGGGCAGAGCCTAACAAGAACGTGGTGCGTGGGTTCCGTGCTTTTGAGCTTCTGCTGTCACGCCATCCCGAATTAAAGGGCAAGATCAACTTCCTGGCCTTCCTGGTGCCGTCCCGCACCCATATCCGGCAGTACCAGCGCTACATGGAAGAAATCAACCAGTTGGTCGCGAAGATAAATGAGACCTTCGGGACCGAAGACTGGCAGCCTATCACCACATTTATGGAGAACAACTACACCCAGGCTATAGCCGGTATGAAGTTGTATGATGTGTTGCTGGTGAACACTCTGATGGAAGGGATGAACCTGGTCGCCAAGGAAGGACCAGTAGTAAACACCAGAGACGGGGTATTGGTGCTTTCCGAAACCAGCGGCGCCTTTGAGCAACTTGCGGAAGGAGCCCTACCTGTTTCTCCCACCGACGTGGAGGGAACCATGGAAGCCCTTTACCAGGCGATTAATATGGACCCCGAAGAACGGAAACGGAGGGCATCCCTCCTGGCAGAATCGGTCAACCGCGAAGACATTAACGACTGGATTTGCCGGCAGTTGAAAGACATTTCCAGCTTGCCGCAACTCCATCCCCAGGAGAACGTCATTGATTGATGACCCCTTTCACGGCCAATTGCCGGACGGTGAACGTCCCGACATCATTCTCTACATCTTCCCCCATCTCAAGGAATTCCTGGCCGTAGACCTGCGGGACGACTGCTCGGAAGTGATTTTGATGAACGCCGGCGATGTCTTCGACGGCGACTTCCTCAGTAGCCTGGAGGTTGAGTTTTCCAACACACTTCGCGAAGGAAACATTTATCCCTTTGCGCATATGATCAACCTCCCCCTGAGGATGGAAGAAATCGTCCGCAATGTGGCCATGTCCTCTATTTTGGAGAAGTTGGGGTTCGACTCTCACGACGAAGAGGAACTACCTTCGGTCGTTGTGTTTATCATTAGCGGCGGCGCCCTGACCATGCACTCGGACAAACTGGTCAACAGCTTGCGGGAATTGCTGCAGACCTACCCTGGTGGAGCCGAGATAGACCAGTGGGAGGGAGTCATTTCCCGCCTGGTTTCCGAGGAGAACCAGGTCCTTAAGGAACTCAGCTACCAGGAATTAACCGAGGCACTGCGCGACGACTCGCCCGATTACTTTACCCTCTGGGAAAACCGCAATTAGCCCTGGCCGCTGACCATATTTCTCCAGCCAGAAAGGTAGAACCTATTGAAACAGGTGGGCCTGATATCCGACACCCACTCCGCAGGCAGTGGCCGGGACCTTCCAAAAGAGGTCCTGAAAGCGCTGGAAGGGACGGACTTGATCCTGCACTGCGGCGACTTGGAGTGTCTGGGAGTACTGGATTATCTGGAGACGATTGCACCCGTGCTGGCGGTACGGGGTTACGAAGACCCCACGGAACCGGGAGACCGGGTGGCCCAAACGACTCGCGTCGTGCGGGTTGAAGGCGTTAGCATTGGAATGGTGCACGACATCCAGTGGCCAACCCCCAGGATTCCCACTACTCCCGACGGCTCGGGGCTGGTGTTTCCCCAAGGGAGGGCTGATGACATATTGGCAAAGAAATTTGGGGAGCCAGTTGACGTCGTGATATTCGGGGACACCCACGAGGAATTGGTTTGCTGGTACGACGGCGCCCTATTCATTAACCCGGGCAGCCCTACTTACCCGGGCCGAAAGCACAGACCTGGCTCGCTGGGCACATTGGCAAGGTTGAGGGTTGAGGGGAAGTCAGTTGAGGTAGAAGTGGTGCAGTTAGAAGCCATTTCCTGAGGGAACCACCGACTACAGGTTCTCTTCCAATGGGAAGAAATCGAAGGGACGTGGCACAGTCGCCACGTCCTTTCTTGTTTCCGTGCGAGGGCAGCGATGCTGCAAGCCGGTTATCCCAGGGTTATCAGCCCGTTGCCGAATACCGGGGCGAACACCAGGGAAACTATGGCCATCAGCTTGAGCAGAATATTCAGGGACGGGCCGGAAGTGTCCTTGAATGGGTCACCGACTACGTCGCCCTCTACAGCGGCCTTGTGGGCGTCTGAACCCTTTCCGCCAAAGTTGCCAAGCTCAACGTATTTCTTGGCGTTGTCCCAGCTACCGCCGGCGCTGGCCATCATAATCGCCAGCATGAAGCCGGACGAGATCGCGCCGATGAGAAGGCCACCCAATGCCGCCTGACCCAGAATGAAACCGGTGGCCAAGGGAGCGACTACCGCCATCACGCCGGGAAGAATCATCTCACGCAGCGCTGCCCTGGTACTGATATCCACGCACCTTGCTGAATCGGGACTAGCTGTGCCCTCCATCAGACCTGGTATTTCGCGGAACTGCCGGCGTACCTCGTCCACAATTCCCTGAGCGGCCCGGCCCACGGCCTGCATAGTCAATGCGGAAAAGATAAAGGGCAGCATGGCACCAGTTATCACGCCCACGAGAATCCGCGGGTCCAGCAGATTGATTCCAGATCCGCCTGCGCTCAACCGTCCGTCCTCGCCCAGGGTTATCAGTCCGGCGCTGACGGCATAAGCGGCCAGCAAAGCCAGGGCGGTCAAAGCAGCCGACCCAATCGCAAAGCCCTTGCCAGTGGCGGCGGTGGTGTTGCCCAGGGCGTCCAGCGCGTCGGTGCGTTCCCTGACCTGCGGGTCCAACTGGGCCTGTTCGGCGATACCGCCGGCGTTGTCCGCCACCGGGCCATAAGCGTCGGTAGCCAAGGTAATGCCCAGGGTGGAAAGCAGACCCACACCGGCCAGGGCCACGCCGTAGAATCCCGCAAACCAGTAGGCCAGCAAGATCGCGACTGAAATGCATATGACCGGGATAAGAGTGCTGAGCATGCCGCTGGCAATGCCGCTGATTATTACCGTTGCGGCTCCGGTCTGGGAGGCCTCAGAAACCCGCTGAGTTGGTTTGTAACTGTAGGAAGTGAAGTACTCGGTCGCCAGGCCGATTATGGTTCCAGCCACCAGGCCAGCGACCACGCAGCCGAACCACGACCATTCCTGGGTTATGGTTACCGTGAGTACGGCGGCGAAGATGATTAGCAACCCGCCAGCGGCGAAAATGCCATATCGCAGAGCCCAGAGAAGCTTGTCGAAGTCAGCCTGTTCGCCGCTACGCACGACGAAAGTGCCGAGGATGGCGGCGATAATGCCCGCTCCCGCCAGAAGCATTGGGAAGAGAGCTTGAACCTTGTCTGCATCCTGCATGGCAAACAAGGTACCCGCACCCACTAGAGCAACGGCTGAGATAATGCTGCCTACGTAGGACTCAAACAGGTCCGCGCCCATTCCGGCTACATCACCGACGTTGTCGCCCACGTTATCTGCAATGACACCGGGATTGCGAGGGTCATCCTCAGGTATGCCTGCTTCAATCTTACCGACCAAGTCGGAACCAACGTCGGCGGCCTTGGTGAAGATTCCACCACCGACACGGGCGAAGAGGGCGATGGAACTGGCGCCAAATCCAAATCCGGCTACGGCGCTTATGTCCTGGAAAACCAGGTAAAGAATGGTCACACCCAGAAGGCCAATGCCGACTACGGTTACACCCATCACTGTTCCACTGGAAAAAGCCACCCGCAGGGCAGGGTTCAGGCCACGCATGGCGGCGGCGGCGGTCCGCACGTTGGCACGTACCGCAATATTCATTCCAATGAATCCAGCCAATCCGGAGCAAATAGTGCCAACCAAATAGGAAATTGCTGTGGCGGGTACGCCGATATCATGGGCGAACAGAGTATAGTCCAATACGGCCAGGACAACTGTCACTACCACTACTAAAGGCAACAAAGCCAGATATTCACGGCGCAAAAAAGCCGACGCCCCCACTCGGATAGCGTCGCCTATTTCGGTCATTCGTTCATTGCCAGCATCGGCCCCTACCACTCGGAAAGCCATAATGGCGGCAAACACCAACGCAATGACTCCGGCCACCAGCGGCAGGACAATTAGCAATACGGTTGAATCCATTTAACCCACCTCGAAATTACGGAAATCCGCTATTGGAAGCGTTGGAAACGTACCATATACCCCCCGGAGTGTCAACTTACGGCCTATCTGCCGCTGTTCCAAGCTCCCTCGGAGAACCGGTGTGTTAGAACTCTTCAGCCAGAGGCCTCGCCATCGCAAGAACAACCGATGGCCCTTTGCCCCAACGACGACATCCCACAGGAACATACCTCGCAGGCAATCGACTGGTATTTTAGGAGAGAAAGGAGACTGTGACGTCCAGACGGGCTGAGTTTCGAACCTCTCTGCAAGGACGCCGCAGGCAAGTATGGAATGCCATGAAGCCAGACAGGAGGAGGCCGTGTTTGGGAACGAGCACCAGGCATTACTTCCTTAATGACCGCCTCAACACATTGTCCATCACAGTATCCCTTCTAAACGCCAAAATGAGCAGTTTTTGACGGTTATTCGCTGAGGATGGGAGGTTTCGAGCAATTTCACTGTTTGTTTCCTATCGGTATGGGACCCCCAGTTTAAAGCTTCCTTCAAGGGAGGAAAATCTCTGGAAGCGGGCCCTTTGGACCGAGAAAAATAATTCCCGCCATTTCCGCTCATTTTCGCCCATTTCAGGTCTACTCCGAACTTTGCTCCGGCTTCGGACGGTAAATGGTGGCGATCATGGATTTATGGTAGAAGAGGGTTACACGAGGTGTCGAGGGGAGATTGTCAGGGCGAACCTCAGGCAATTCTTCTCCGATGTAAAGAGTGAAAGAGCGAATATTCGCCGATAAGATCCGAAATGCCTTAGCCCGTCTGTTTGACATTCATTGAAGGCATGGCTCATGTTAAGCATTGTGTAAACGAAGCCTGAGCCGTATGAAATACCCTGAATTATGATAAAGTAGCTTGAAATCTTGCAGAGGGGCTTCGTGAAGATGGACTTCGGGCAGCTTTTTGATTTGACAGGAAAAGTAGCGATTGTAACCGGCGGCAACGGTGGGTTGGGTCTGGGCATGGCTCGGGGCTTGGCGGCTGCCGGCGCCAATATCGCTGTGGCGGCTCGAAATGCCGAAAAGACCGCTGAGGCTACTCGGGAATTGGAAGACATGGGAGTCCAGGCCGTCGGCATGACCGTTGACGTTACCCAGGAGACTCAAATTAAGCAGATGGTGGCAGAAACCGTCAGGGCCTTAGGCAGGGTAGACATCCTGATCAATAACGCCGGTACTGTAGTACGGAAAACGCCAGACCAGACTTCCACGGAAGAATGGGACCTGGTACTGGACGTTAACCTGCGAGCCTCATTCCTGGCCGCTCGCGAGGTTTTCCCGCACATGAAGGAGCAGGGCGGCGGGAAGATTATAGGGATCGGGTCCATGTACTCGATTTTTGGTGGCGGCGGCAGTGGCGCGCCCTACTCAGCCAGCAAGGGGGGCGCGGTACAACTGGCGAAGAGCCTGGCTGTGGCTTGGGCCAAGGACAATATTCAGTCCAACGCCATTTTGCCCGGATGGTTTATGACGGAACTCACATCGGATATTCCGGTAAACCAACCCGAACGATTCCAGATGATAAGCAACCGCATTCCCACGGGGCGTTGGGGAGAAGTGGACGAACTACAGGGGACTGTTGTCTTCCTATCCAGCAGGGCGTCGGACTATGTTACGGGCGCGGTGATCACTGTGGACGGCGGCTTTTCGGTGATGTAGGCAATGCCCCGCTATGTCTCGGGACTTCTGTTGCCAATATCCTAATTGACTCGGTTTGGCGAATAAAAATGGGGCAACCACAAGGGTTGCCCCTAACATATCTCGGGGACATGGGAAACTCCGGCGGAACCCTATCCCAGCTGCCCCAATGCTTCCCGCGAAAGCATCATCTACCGGACTGATGGGACGAAAAGTTCGTGAAACTCTGACGTCGCCAGCAAGGCTGCAAAGGGTGTAAGCATCGTAGGGAGCGAGGCCTTTCTCACGGACCAGAAAGTCCACCATGTCCCGTACCGCCTGCTTCATCGCCGGGGAGAGATCTTCACCGTAGGATAGGACTACAAAGTGGTCCGGCGTGAGGGCACGGGGACTGGCAATATTCATCCCCTTTTCTACCGTGACCCTGATATGGGTATCCGAAGAACACTCGGCACCGGTACCGGCCACCGCCCCATCGCCTACCAGGGCGTGGCAATCACCCAGGGCAAGCAAGCCGCCGTCGACAAACACCGGCATGTAAATGGTGCTGCCTTCCACCAGTTCCTTCATGTCTATATCCCCACCATAGGGGCCACTGTCGCTGGCGGTGTTCTGGACGTAGGTGGGCGTGGTTGCGACCAGGCCCATGGAGGGCTTCATGGTCAGCTTTATGCCACTGGGGAGCACGAGTCTGCCGTCTTCAATTGTCATGACCGTGGGATAGCCTTCGGTGAATTCTTCCTCCAGGAAGCCACGCCCGGGCATCACCATGTGGGCGGGGCCCTCCTTGGGAGTTATTTTCAAGAATTCAACCTTGAGGGCGTCGCCGGGTTCAGCACCGTTAACGTAGATTGGCCCGGTAGCGGGGCCCTTCAATGCCTTGGCATTCAATGCCGCCGGGTCCCTTAGTCCCTCAAAAGCGTCCCAAGTCTCCACCATCAATTCTTCTCCAGAGTCGATGGTTATGGCGGGTTCGCCCTCAGGATCCAGGAAATATATTCGTTTTTCCCTGCTAAGGTGCTTCATCTGACGCCTCCCGCAGCTATTTCGCTCGCATTGATAGGATGTACGCCCGGGTCGTCATCCAGGGACAGGAACACTTGCCTGACGTTAACCCCGGTCTCCGGGTCCAATTCGGCCAGGTTGACCGAAATATGTTCATCGTCCGGCGACGCTCCCAAAGGTGAGCCCGAGTAGAATGCTACCGTATCTCTTTGAGACACCTCAACGTGCCGTTCCCAGTGGCCCAATGCCAAATAGTCGCAAGGGGCGTCGGCAACTTCCTCAGGCCAAATGGGAGACGACCTCTGGTCCCTGTCTTCGGGGAAGTGAAAATGGCCGTGAGCCAAGGCAACCTGCCAATGACCCTGGGCTGCTTTGGGCATGCCGGCAAGCGGGCTGAATTCGGGAGTATGCTGGGACATAGCCCGACCCCACAAGTCCAGGCCTAATTCGGGGAGGGATATCGTTTGGCCCGCCCAGTCCTCAAACAAGCAAAAATTGGGGGGCGCATCCAGAAAGGGTTCGCGTAGATACAGGGAATCCTCGTGGTATAGGTCGTGATTTCCCGGCAGCGTAACCACCGGACACTGCAATCGACCAATTTGTTCCAAGTAGAACTCAAGCACCCGGTCTGGCACGCGGGCATGGTCGAAAACGTCTCCGACCACCAAGAGGGCATCGGCTTCAAGCAGGCCAACACTTTCTATTACTCTGCTGAAGGCTCTTTCTGACAGGTCGGCCCGCCAGTCCACACCAAGGTGGACATCGGACGTATGGACAAGGCGAATTTTCTTCTTTCCCATGAATGAAAAGTCCTCTAATTATGAAGGTGGGACAGGACGTACTAAGGACCCTTACCGATAACACCCTTCTCCTTGAGAAGAGCGATGGCGTCCTTGTCGTAACCTAGCTCATTCAGAATTTCGTCGTTGTGTTGGCCCAGCAAAGGCGGTGGCCGCCTAATTTCTGCTGGAGTCTCCGCCAGCTTCAGGGGGGAGTTTGGAATGCGCAGGTCGGGCACGTTGGGATGAGTCAGTTCTGCAATCATGTTACGGGCATTGACCTGGGGGTCGTTTACGACGTCGTCAACACGATTTATGGGGCCGCAAGGCACCCCACACTGCTCGATTATCTCAACCCATTCTGCCACGGTTTTGGCTTTAAAGATTTCGTTCAGAGCATCTATGCACTCCGAACGGTGAACGACACGGTCGTCGTTGGTCTTGAACCGCGGGTCGCCCAGCAATTCGGGGCGTCCAATTCCGGCACAAAACCGTTCCCACAAACCCTGATTGGCCACGCCAACGATGAAGTTGCCGTCGGAGGCACGGAAACTTTGGTAGGGCACCAGGCTGGGGTGTCCGGACCCCATGCGCTGGGGCACATTGCCAGTGGCCATATAAGCGGTGGCGTGGTAACTGAGGGCGGCTACCTGACCGTCCAACAATGCGGCCTCCAGGCGTTGGCCCCGTCCCGTTTCCCGCTTGTGGTAAAGGGCAGTTACTATTGACCCGAATGCCATCATGCCGGTGAACAGGTCTACCAGGGAAAATCCGACCCGCATGGGCATCCCATCCGGTTCCCCCGTTAAGTCCATCAACCCACTGTAGGCCTGGATAATCAGGTCGTAGCCCGGTTTTTCCGCCATCGGGCCAGTGCGACCGTACCCGGAAATGGAGCAGTAGACGATACCGGGGTTTATGCCGCGAATTTCTTCATACCCCAGACCCATGCGGTCCAGAGCGCCCGCCCGAAAGCTTTCAATCATGACATCGGCGTCCGCCGCCAGGGTACGAACGATTTCCAGCCCTTCCTTTTCCCGCAAGTTCAGGCTGAGACTCCGCTTGTTGCGATTAAAAGATACGAACTGGGTGCTTTCACCGTTCCAAAAAGGCGTCCAGGAACGGGTCTCATCGCCGTTTTGCGGTTCTTCAATCTTTACTATGTCGGCGCCCATATCCCCCAGCATCATGGTGCAGAAGGGACCGGCCAGGGTCCGAGTCAGGTCAACTACCTTGATTTTTTCCAGCGCCGCGACCATGTAAGACTATTCCCCTGTAGAAAAGTTTGGAGGGAAGAGCGTTAAGATGTTGCCTCAACCAGCTTTCCCGTACTGGGCGGAATTATAGCACGGAGACCGTTAGCGCTGCTGGCCGCCCGTTGACCCACCGATATTCTGGTGATAGGTTTAGTCCCATCCGCAACAAGAGCTAAAACTGAGCCAAAGCCAAAGCTGCCGAACGAGAATCATGCTCTCAAGCCAAGAGCCTCCCCTGATAGTTGTGTTGGGTGGGATTAACATGGACCTGGTCACTATGACGGACCGGTTTCCTGGAGCCGGCGAAACCGTGGTGGGGAACCGCTTCCTTACCTACGGCGGTGGCAAAGGAGCGAACCAGGCCGTCGCAGCCGGACGCATGGGGGCAAGAGCGGCCATGGTAGGACGCGTGGGTGACGATGTCTTCGCCTCCCCGGCGCTACAAACCCTTGTTGACTCAGGGGTGAACATTTCGCCCGTGGGAATTACTCCGGACACCAGCACCGGAATCGCTGTCATTAGCATTAACGTAGACGCCCAAAACCAGATAATCCAGGTTTTGGGGGCCAATAATACGTGTGGGGACGAAGAGGAGGCCAAGGTAATGGGTCTCCTGGACGGGGCAGCGGCACTATTGCTGCAACTGGAGGTTTCGGTTGAACTGTCTCTCCGGTGCGCGCAGGCCGCGAGAGCGAAGGGAGTCAGGGTGGTTCTTGACCCGAGTCCGGTACGGCCGTTGCCAGACGCTTTCTACGGATGCTGCGACATCATTACACCCAACGAGACCGACGCCCAGGCTTTGGTGGGTATGCCGGTCACCGACCGGGAAACGGCAGCACAGGCCGCAGGGACGTTGTTGAGCAGAGGGGTTGGCACTGCCATTGTCACGCTGGGGCCGCAGGGCGCTTACTATGCCACGGCGGAAGGCGGAGAGTTTGTGCCAGCTTTTGCAGTTGAGGCCGTTGACTCGGTAGGGGCTGGAGATGCTTTCAATGGTGCTCTGGCCGTTGCCCTGGCCGAAGGTCGAGACTTGGGGGAGTCGGTCAGGATGGCCGCGGCAACCGGGGCAATGTCAGTAACCAGAAGTGGGGCCCAGGACTCAATGCCGACGCGCGAGGAAGTTGAAGCCTTATTGCGTCAATCCCCCTGCTGAGAAGTCCCTGTGGTTTCATTGGACCAAGGAGACAAGTACTGTTCCGGCTGCGCTTCCATTCTGGAAGTGAAAGAAGCCAACGGTACTATGCGACCGGTCTGTCCCTCCTGCGGCAAAATTGTCTACTACGACCCCAAGGTGGCCGCCGTTACCATTATTGCCCGGGATGGGAAGGTCCTGCTGGTGCGCCGGGCCAACGAGCCGGGTTACGGCCTCTGGAGCGTACCTGGAGGTTATGTTGACCGGGGCGAGGTAGTAGAAAAGGCAGCAGCCAGAGAGGTGTTCGAAGAAACGGGCCTAAGAGTCGTGATCGACCATCTGATTGGCCTCTTCTCGGAAGAGGGCCGCACGGTTATAGTGGCAGCCTTCAGCGGACTGGAACAAGGGGGACAGCTTAAGGCTGGCTCCGAAGCACTGGATGTAGGGTTTTTCGGGTTGGATTCTCTGCCACCGTTGGCTTTTCCCGGCGACGCCAGAATGCTGGAAAGTTGGGTCAATGCCCGAGACAAGTCCCCCTAGTGGAGTATCGTACCGCCCGGGAACTCAGTCGCCTCTATCCTGCCATTAATAGTTCTTGCCTCCCTCACTTGATGAAATGTCGATAGGACTGGGAAACTACGCTGCCAAGATTGCTCGCTCGGCAATCGACCTGATTTTGCCAATTCACTGCCTCGGCTGTGGCTTAGAAGGCAAGTTCCTTTGTTCTTCTTGCACTACTACTTTGCCTCGCCTGGAAATGCCTTACTGCACGTTTGTTCAGACCCGGGAACACTCAGGGTCTGCGACGCTTGCAGACAGCAAAGCAGGTTCTCAACCGACTGTCTTTCGGGCATTCGGTCCCCCTACTTGATGGAAGGACTGGTCAGGGACGCCGTCCACGCGTTCAAATACCGGAACTACAAGGTGGCCGCTCCGCAGCTTTCGGAGTTGTTGGCGGAGTACCTTGGGCAGCATCCCCTGCCAGGCAATGCGCTGTTTCCAGTGCCTTTACACCGCAAGAAGTTGCGGGAACGCGGCTACAACCAGGCCGGCCTTCTTGCCAGGGAACTGTGCAAGCGTATTGACCTGCCCGTGACAGAAAGACTGCTGGTTCGGACCCGAAACTCGCCCTCATAAGCTCACAGCATCAATAGTGCCGAGAGAAGGGAAAACACGGAAGGGGCGTTTGCCTGCCGGGGCCGCGTCGACGGCTTGGCCTGTATTCTGATTGATGATGTTTGCACTACGGGAAGCACACTGGGGGCTTGTGCTGTAGCACTTATGGAGGCAGGAGCCCAGTCTGTGTGGGCCCTAACCCTGGCCAGGGAGAGATTGCACAGTCCAGAAATCGGGCCATAAATCCGGGCCCTATGTAAATATCCCAGGGGCACCAAAAAGGGCAGGCCTGAAGGGGACGAATCCTCTTCAACCTGCCCTTTGGAACAGGTTCGAATGAAAAAGCTACACCTAGGGTTCGCTACGGTCCCAGTCGGGCAGGGCATGATAGCCTACGAAGGGGATATCCACCTGGACCTCCAGGCCCTGGGCTTTTTTTAGCCTTTGTATATTGAATAGATGGGTCAAGTATTCAAAGTAACGGTGCCGGAAGGTAGCTTCCAGCGTTACGTAACCCTGCGGGGGATTATTCGGATCTTCGCGCACACCATTGGGATGAGCCTCCAGCCAATGGAGTTGACCGCCAACCGTCGCAGAAATTTCCTTGCTTCGCATTGAGTCGACTGTTTCAGAGGCCAGAATCGAACAGCAGAAGTCCATGCTCTTGCGCAACACTTCCATGATCGAGTCCAGTTCCCAATACTTGGTTTCGTCGAGCCTTCGGTCGTAGGGAGAGTCGATTATACCTTCCCAATCGTCAATCTCCGGCAGACCGTCGGTAAACAGATTCTCTCCCCACCTTTGGAGAAACCACCTGAAGTCACCGGAGGCCACATGGCTGACATTTCGCCGGATACTCCACTCGCTCCAGCCCCAGCGGTCAGACTGGAAATCAAGCTGTTCATCGGTTAGACCCGCAAGTTCCAACCGGTACATGTCGTAAATTTCCTGCCGGAACTGGGGAAACAAATCGGTGCCGGGGGAATTGCCCGCTATATCTTGCTGCGCCATTGGCAGTTACCTCTCTTTCGACTCTATCGCCTAAGTGCCGGTTGCTGTTACCAAACATCGAAAGTCCTACACCAAGCTATAGGCGGACTAAGGGCGAACCCAAGTCTCCGACCAAGCCAGGCAGGCGCTGCTACTCTGCTTGTCACCCCGCATTTCCAGCCAGGTATCTCCCTCAATCACGTTGCCGTTTATGGTTAGCTGGGCCCGCCTCGAGGGAATGAAACAGCTGTATACACCGTGGGGTCGGCCCGGAACCGTGCCAGCTTCCACCCGGAGCATGTAAGGCTCAAGAAAATCATACCAGGTCAGGTGGATTTCCTCATCGTCGCTGAGGATCTTCTCGGTCCAGAACGAGCGCACGTCGCCCGACTTGGAAAATTCCGCATCCATTACCGGAAGGTCCTGATCGGCGAATTCGGGGAAGAGCAGGCATTCGATTTCGTCCTGCAGCCAGCGCGCCAGGGCTATGTTATCCGCATATATGCGGACTTCGTTATCCGTCTCGTCGCTCTTCATAAAGAGCACGTGACCCGCCCCGGCAGGAGATAGCAAAACGCGCCAGTGGCTGGTACGGGTAGACTGGTTTGCACCCCCGTCATGAGAGAGGCGGACGAAGGAATTTTCGCCGGTGAGTCTGATTTGATTCGGGTCAGTTGGATTGGTCGTCATTATTTTTTCCCCTATTTCTGGTAGTGGCGGAGCCTGAAACGAATGATACTTGTCCGGGAAGCCATTTTTACTGAGGCAAATCACTCACCACAAACAAGGGCGGGGCCACCCTGATGCCGAGCGGCCCCGCCAAACTGTGCCTACCTTGTGGTATCTCCTAGTCCTTCGCCGGGAACCAGTCCTGCTTCCAGGGAAAGTCGCCGCCAGCCGGGTCAAAGGCAGGTTGGCCATTTTCCACCCGCTCACGGTAGGGACTGGCGATGGGTTCGGAGTAGGGGTATATCCCGCCTTCGTAAACGCTGGGACCCTGCTTGAAGTGGCGGGCCTGTTCAAAGGTCTCGACGAAGGGCATGTTCATGTCATAAAGCTGGTCGACACGCTTGGGCCGAGGACCGGCTTTGGAAACGTGCCCGAACAGTTCCCGTCCCATGATGCGCTCGGCCATCCAAACGCAGTCAATGACCTTGTCAATGTCAACGCCGGTTTCGACGCCCATGTCTTCCATCATGTGGACCAGGTCCTCGGTGGGAGCCATGCCGGTGGCGCGACCGTTGCCGCAGTAGGGGCAACCGCCGTAACCGCCAATGGTGCCGTCCAGTTCCACCGTGTCTTCGGGACCCAAGGTCCGCATAGCGGCATAGGCGGAGGCTATAGCCATATTGCGGCCGTTGTGGAGGTGCAAGCGGAAGTGGTTAATCTCGGGCCAGCGCTCTTTAACCCGGGTGATGCTCTCTTCAACCTTGGCAGGGGTGCAGTGGCTCATAGGGTCGCCCATGGAGCAACTGACTACCTTGATTCCCACATCGTCCCACATGCTGTGCTGGCGTTCCAAGAGGGTCATGAGGTTTGTCCACAGGGAACTCACCGAGGAAATTGGACCCCCAACTGGCGTTGCAGCCAATGCCCGCTTCGAGAACGTTCAGTTCCTGGGCCTGAGCTACAATCTGAGGCCAGCGCTCCATTTCCTGCATCTGGGTGCGGTTGGTGTTGCGGCGGACGAATACGTCGCACATGTGGCAGGAAAGGCGCGGATAGGGATCGCGCTCAATGGAAAGCGGTGGCGAGTAAGCCCGCGCGCGCTCAACACCGCGGGAATTCAGCGCCAAAGCAGTATAGGTAACGTCGGGGTTGGGATTGAAGCGACTTACGATCTCGTCAATTCGCTCCATCTGGGGCGTCCACTTGGGGCTAACAAAGGAGCCAACGACAATCTGCTTCAGGCCGGTCTCGGAAAGAGCGTCCAGCAGTTCAATCTTGTCGTCAACGGAAATGCTGGAGTCCTCAATCTGCATGCCTTCCCGCATGCCTTCTTCTTTGTAAATTACCTTAGGCCACTGATACATCAGAGTCCTCCTTCTCTATCGGGCTGGGTCAGCTAATGGCTGGGATATATTCCCTTTGCACTTCCCGAAACAGGGTGTGCGAATTGGCCGGATTGTAGGGTTTTGGTACCTAATTTGTCAAGGAAACCCCTGCCAAAACAAAGGTTACTGTACTCGGACACTGCGGCCATAATCACCTCCGAAGAAAGAGAAATCTTCTTTCCCAATACTTTTAGTTCAAAGTTTCTCGACCAAGGAACCACGATGGCACTGTAATTGACCCACATACCACAACCAGCTCCAAAGGAAGGTACTACTATTGACCCTCAAATCTCTGCGTGATAGCTTGAAGACCTGCTGTCCCACCAAGCGTAGCCTTGCCGACTAAGGCTGGGCGGAGTCTTCATTAAAGGGAATGGGCGACATGGGAACGGACAAAATAAGCCCCGCCACCGAACAGAAACCGACGTGGGAAATGTCTCTGGGCCAGTTTCTGGACCAAGCAGTCAAGCGAAGTCCAGATAAGGCGTACCTGCAAATTGCAGGGCGAAGCATTACCTACCGGCAGCTTTATTCTAGGGTGAAGCAAACGGCCTCGTTGTTCCAGGGGCTCGGGATTCGACGGGGAGACAGGGTATGTTTGTTCTTGCCGAATGTACCCGAGTTTCATTACTGCTGGTTTGGGCTTTCACTTATTGGCGCCATCAGCATTCCGGTGAACACTGCATACAAGCGGGACGAAGCCGCGTATATTTTCGATAACGCCGGAGCGACCGCAGTGGTTGCTCACACAACACTACAAAGCGTGGCTGATGCGGCGTCTAACCTCACCGCCAGCGTAAAGCATCGACTGCTGGTGACTACTCCGCTTGAATCTGAGGACGCCAGCTCCGCCGACCTTGTCACAGGTCAGGAAGGCATCAATCAAGATTTGTGGGCAAAGTTTGACGACGCGCTGTCCGGTGCCCCTGAATTGGCCGATGTGCCTGATATCTCTGCCAATGAGATATCAATGCTGGTTTACACTTCCGGCACTACCGGAAACCCCAAGGGCGTCCAGGTAACGCACCTCATGTACGTTACCGCGGGTCAAGGGTTTGCCCATTGGACGGAAGCTACCGAAGAAGACAGATTCTTCACCTGTTTGCCCTTCTTCCACGCCAACGCCCAGTACTACTCCACCATGGGGTCCCTGGCCGCCGGAGCCACGTTAGTTGTCGAAGAACGGTTCAGCGCCTCTCGATTCTGGGACCAGGTCAGGAAGGCAGACGCGACCGTAGTCAACTTTATTGGAATGATGATGCCGGTACTGGCGAAACAGCCGGAATCGGCCCAGGACCGTACCAACAATGTCAGGCTGTTCTACGGTTCCCCCGCATTTTCACCCGAGTTTCTTCAGGCATTCAAGGACAGATTCGACACGGAAATCATCGTGGGTTTCGGAATGACTGAAACCTGTTATGGAGCGATAGAGAAAATCGGGCATCCTCGGCGCCCCAATTCATCGGGTCAGCCCAGGCTCCATCCGGATCCAGGATTTGTGAACCAGATCAGAATTGTGGACGACGAAGGCAATCCTCTGGACACGGGCCACCCTGGCGAAATTACTATCAAGAATCCGGCAGTGATGCACGGATACTGGCGCAATGAGGAACAAACTAGCCAGGCCCTCAGAGACGGGTGGCTCCACACCGGCGACCTGGGATGGCAGGACGAGGACGGATTCCTTTACTTCGTAGACAGGAAGAAGGACGTGATTCGCCGGAGAGGGGAGAACATCTCCTCCCAGGAAGTTGAGGACGTGATCAAGCGGCACCCTACGGTCTTGGACTGTGCTGTCATCGCCGTGCCGTCGGAGTTGGGAGAGGACGAAGTCAAAGCTTACGTGACGCCAAGACTCCCGGCCCAAGTTGACCCGAGAGAGATAGTTTACTGGTGCGCAGAAAATCTGGCGTATTTCAAGGTCCCCAGATACCTGGAAGTTCGTGAGGAACTGCCACGCACCCCCAGCCTTCGGGTTCGCAAGGACTTGCTGAGGCAGGAACTGGACAACCTGGTTGAAGGTTGTTTCGACCGGGAGGCTGAGGGCATCCGCATCAGGTGATACCTGAGACGTACGGGTCGAAGGAAAAAGCAGGAACCGTACTGAAATGCATCGGCATAGTCTATAATTATCAGCAAGAGCGGCGCCGGTCGCTTTCGACTTTGATGTGAACAAAAATTGATAGCCGGCGAGGTTGGAATGAACAAGATTGAAGCGATTATCAGGCCAGAAAAATTGAACGACGTTAAGGACGCGCTGGCTGACGCGGGAGTGCTGGGCATTAACGTGGCCCACGTAACCGGTCGAGGGGCACAGAAGGGCATAGAAGTTGGTGGGCCACGGGGAGTCGCCGGCAGCTATGTAGTAGATATGCTTCCCAAGGTCAAACTGGAAACCGTGGTAAAGGAAGAAGACACGCAAATGGCGATCGATATCATCATCGAGAAATCGCGCACCGGCAACATTGGGGATGGGAAGATATTTATTTCTCCCGTTGCCAACGCTATCCGCATACGGACCAGCGAAGAAGGGGAAATCGCCCTTTAGGCCTCAATGTCCTTTGTGCGGTACCCGCCAGGTTCAGGGACGGGATATACCGGCGCGGAAGCTTCCGCTCGCCTTCACGAGGTATTAGTAGCCCCGTGACGGGGCTCTGTGGAAACCAGAAGTTAACACATCACCACTGGCGAGAACATTAGCTTACAGGTAAGGGAAAATATGGCTGAAAGACGGTATTGGCTGTTCAAGTCGGAACCGACCAACTACTCCTTTCAAGACTTGCTTGGCGAAGAAGACAGGACCGCCGAGTGGGACGGGGTCAGGAATTACCAGGTCCGCAATTTTATGCGGGACGAAATGAAGGTTGGTGATGGCGTACTCTTCTACCACAGCAGCGCCAAGCCTACCGCCGTCATGGGCACGGCCACCGTGGTCAAGGAAGCTTATCCAGACTCTACTGCATGGGAGCCTGGGGCCAAGTACTATGACCCCAAGAGCAACCCCGACGACCCAACCTGGTTGATGGTAGATATTCTGGCGGACCAGGAATTCAACCGCCCGGTTACCCTGCAGGAAATCAAGAAGAACCCCAAATTGCAGGGCATGATGGTAGTCAAGCGAGGTGTGCGGATATCCATCCAGCCGGTCAGCAAAGAGGACTGGGACGAGATTATTGCCCTGGGAATGGAGGGGCAACCTAACTCGTAGAGAATCAATGAGACTGTGATCTGAACTTTCAGATCAACGCAGGGCCCCGCATACATTTAATGAGCCCCGAGGCTTTTGTTCAGGCCTCGGGGCTCTCGTTGTCCACCGGGGAAATTATAGGCCGTCGTTATAGGGAACCGTCGATACTCACATTGACCACTGACGGTTTACCACTGCCAATGGCTTTTTCCAGTGCCGGCCGCAACTCGCGAGGGTCTTCCACATTTTGCCCGGCTACGCCCATGGCTTCCGCCAGTTCCGCCAGAGGCAATGGGGTGGCAAAGTCCATGCCGACGTATTCGCTGTCGCGCTCATTGTCTTCCAGCATGCCCCGCAGGTAAACGTCCATGTTCACCTTGAGGATGCGGTAGGAACGGTTGTTGCAGATAGCGTAAGTGACAGGAATGTTGTAGCGGGCCGCCGTCCAGAGAGCCTGCACCGTATACATGGAGGCTCCGTCGCCTACAACAGCCACTACCGGTCGGTCAGGGTTTGCCAGCTTGATGCCCAGGGCCCCAGGCATGGCCCAGCCCAGAGCACCGCCACGAATAGCGTAGTAACTTCCTGGCTCCGACGGCTCAACGGCCTGCAACAGTGAGTTTCTTGAAGTAATCGCTTCATCTGCGAGTATGGCGTTCTCCGGCAATGCCTGGGCAAGCTCGTACATCATGCGGTCAACGGGCATGGGACGGCTATCACCCATGTTCTGCATCCGCTGGAGGTAAGCCTCCCTGGCCTGCCGCGTGGCGTCGGAAAGGGACGCTGCCCGAGTTGCAGCAGCTTCCCGGGCGGAAGCTGACATTTCCTGATCAAGGGCCTCGGCCAAGTCGGCCAACCCTGCCTTGGGGTCGCAGGGTATTCCCAGGTCAGTGGGATAGATTTTCTCTATTTCCTTGAGGCTGCTGTCCATGTGCACCAATTTGGTGCCGTGAGAAATGAAGGGTTCAGACACATAAAGGAATGAGGAGAATACGTTGGTGCCAATGGCCAGAACCACATCGGCGTCCGCCAACTGCCGCCGGGTGGCTGAGCTGTTCAGGTTAAGGATTCCGGCGTACTGTCCGTGGTTCAGGGGGAAGCTGACCTCGGAATAAGTGTAGGAACTGGCAAATACCTTGGCACCCAGTTGCTCGGCAACCCGAACAAGCTCGGCGGCACCTCCGGCCTGCCCAACCCGGTCGCCAATAACGATGACGGGATTGTCGGCCTGCGACAGCAGTTCTGCGGCCTTGGCTACGGCGTCGGTGTCGGGCCGCATCCGGTAATAACCGGTTGAAGAAGCAATTATGTCAACGTCCACTTCGTCATCCATGGTATCCCACGGGAAGGACAGAAACACCGGGCCGGTGGGAGGAGTCTTGGCTTCCTTGAAGGGCTCGGCGTACCGCCATGGGTATATTGGCGGCGTTGGGCACCTCGGCGCTCCACTTGGTGAACTGTTGGGTCATTTCCACCAGGTCACCGGACAACACCGGTTCACTCAGGAGCATCCGTGTGTCGGAGTTGCCGGCCGTTAGAACCAACGGGGTGCCGCCCCGGTATGCGTTATAGAGGGCACTGACGCCGTTGGCCAGGCCACCGGCGATGTGAATGTTGGCGAAAGCCGGTTGCCCCGTCGCTCTGGCATAGCCGTCGGCCATTCCGACTGCGGTTCCTTCCTGGAGAGCCTGTATGTACTGCAAGGTGGGGTAGTCCTGCAGGACGTCAAGGAAAGGGGTCTCGCTGGTGCCCGGGTTGCCGAATATATACTCCAAGCCTTCAGCTACCAGCATTTGGGCCAAGGCTTCTTTGCCAGTCATTCTTGCCATCTGTTTACATCCTTATGTGGTTGAATAGAACAGGGCCACAGCACGAGGACTGGCCCTGTTAACCGTCTGGTATCCGAGTTCTCTCTTTACCGTTTTCGAGGAATGGGCGCTAAAGGTAAATCATCCACTCCAGAAGGTTGTCGTCAGGGTCGCGGGCGTACAAACTGACAGCGGGCAGGCCTCCGCCGGCTCTCGCGCCCTTTCTAGGGCCGGGGCCCCGAATGACCTCTAACCGGCCTCGGCCAACATTTCCTGGCATTCTTCAGCCGTTCCTTCCCAAACAAAACAGATGTCGGTACAGCCCGGTACGGCCGTGTTGCCCCGCAGCGTCGCGGTGTAGCCCTCGGGGTGGACGTTAATCTTGGAATCGCCGACCTGGATGGAAAAAATCCCAACCTCGCCTTTGCGCCAGGCTTCCTCGTCATTGATGGTGAACCCCAGCCGCTTGTAGAACTCCATAAGTAGTTCCGCGTTGGCAGTTGGCATGGCGATGTGGTCTATAGAAGTGGTGCCCATTCAGATCCCTCGTTGGTGAAAAATGAACCCAATAAGAGCCCCAGGATCTTGAAAACTAAATCCTGAGCTGCGCCGCGGTTTCCGCCAGGAATTCTTCGATTAAACCCCTGGTCCGGCGTGCCTCGTTAGTAAGCAAGCCGTGTTCGGCGCCGGGTATTACGTGAAACTCCGAGCCCGCCATGCCCTGGTGCAGTTGCAAGCCGCAAGCAATGTTAATCCGACTGTCCGCATCGCCGTGCACGATCATCGAAGGCATAACGAGTTCGTGCAGCCGGGTTTCAATTGAGTCCTGGATATCAAGGTAGCTCTGAATGGTTTTCACAATTCCGTCAAACTGCTCCAGGTTGATTGCCTTCAGCTTGGCGAACTGTTCAGGCTGAGACTCGCGTAATCCAGGCCACCTGGAATTAAGTCCGGCCTCCACGGCAGCCTCTTTACCCTTTTCAATCAATACCTGCTTAATCTCGTGCAGTTCCCTGATGCGGACGGCCCTCTCGGACTCCTGAACATAGGTCATGGTGTTAATTAGCAGCAGGGACAGGGTCATGTCCGGATGGTCCAAGGCAAACTGCAGGGCGATAGGGCCCCCGGCGGATGAACCCAGAATATGGGCCCGACTCACACCCAGATGTCCCAGGAGGACATGAAGATCATTGGCATAGTTAGGGATGGAATAACCATCGGCAGGGGTCTCCGAACGCCCGGCCGCGCGCCGGTCGTAGGATATGACCTGGAACCGATCAGACAGGGTGGCGGCGTGGTGTTCCATCATCTGGGCACAGCCCTCGCCACCGCCGAGGCCGCCATGGATCATTGCCAAGGCGGTTCCTGAGCCGTGAGTTTCATAGTACATACGGAAACCGTTGACTGTAGCTTCGGACACGATTCCCTCCATTTCCCTGAATTGGGATTTCCTGGTCCAGTCGGGGCCCAAATCTGCGGCCATTTTATGTCAATCATCTACCTGGATATGCCGCCAACTGCCCAATATTAGCCCTTGCCCCTCGGCTGTGGCAAGCTAACGAGGGCCGGAGACCAGGGCAGTGGGATATGATGATGGGGGACAGATCCCTTGAATTGATGCTTGTATATTAGTGGCGATTATGAAGTTATAAGTTTGGTGTTGATTATTCGCACTTGACGCAGCAAATCTGGAGCATTGATGCCGTTTAACAAATCACATGGACATAAAAGGTAA